TGGCTGTCACCCCACCTCTTATTAACCCTAGCAGAGCCAGGCTGGCAGCGGAGAAGCCAAGCCTGTTCCTCCATCTCCTCTTTCCTTCCCCTTCTCAGCAGCCACCTCCTCCGCCTGCCCCCCCCACGCCCCAGGGAGGAGGGAGCCCGTGGTGAGGGACGCAGGGGAAGGATGGAAGGAAGGAAGGAAGGAAGGAAGGAAGGAAGGAAGGAAGGAAGGAAGGAAGGAAGGAAGGAAGACAGGCAGAAATCTCTTTTCTCCAGATCTTGGCTCTACTTCAGTCTCTAGGAAACGGGTCGGCACTTTCTCTCTGGGACCGAGTTTCTAAAGGCTAGCAGTTCCTGGGTCCCTGGCACCCTACTGACACTGAACGAAGGCTCCCCCTTACTGATTGGGATGGGTCCTTCGACCATCGAAAGGGACTCTAGGCACCCATTTTTGAGTTCAAAAGAAGGCATGCTTGTGGGCTTCCTCACGGGGCATTAGGGAAGCTGAGGCAGCAGAACAAAAAGCGGAAGCTGAGGCCTTACTTACTAGGTAGGTCCTGGTGTGTAGCTGTCCTGTCTCTTCTAGGTTATTAGCCCTGCCAGTGTAGGCAAGAGGGCACAGGATGTGGAGGAGGTCTGCAAGCCATCATGGATCTGGGCTCAGTCTATCCTCATTCCAAGCGTTTAATGTTCATTACGTTCTTAAGACCCTGGAAGCCACCTCTTGGGAAGACAACAAGGGACAAACGGGAGGGAAACATGAGGCCCTGGAATTCAGGCCCTAAGAGCTGACTGAGTGACAGGGCTTGAAGCCAGACTGAACACGAAGGGGGAGGTGCTGGAATTTGGGGGAGATCATTAGATCTTGCAAAAGGAGACACCACATCCAGTCGGGAAGCCGTGGAGATTGAAGAAAGGCAGGAGAGACAAGGAAGAGGAAAGGAAAATCTATAGGATTTCCAGGTGAGGGTCCTGGGGGCGAGGAAATAATGCGGGCAGGAAAATCCTGAGTTCCTTCAGGAATAAATGCTGAAAGGTCGGGGACCTCTAGCGGACAAAAGAGAACAACTCAGTTACGCCTCTCTTCCCAAAACAAACATGGCCGCCGGGGAGCCGGTCCGAAACGCTAAACCATTGGAGAATGGGGAAAGAAGCCCCGCCCCGATATGGGCAAATCGCCCTTCTCAAAAATGGCCACCACGGCGTCTCTGGGCCCCGCCTTTGATCTCGTTGGTGGGACTAGGGGATAAGAACTGCACCGCGCGGGACTAGTCGCCGGCGGCGCCTGACGGAACAGGTGATTTCCCCTCCAGCCCCGGGCCTAGGGCTAGGAGAGTCGCGGAGAGCATTGACACAGGGTACCCCTCCTCGCGTTCCCTATGGTGCCCCCCGGGAGGGGGGTCGGTCGGACCCCTTTCTCTAATTGTCTCCCGTGGCCTGTATCGAGGACCATCCAGCTCGTTCAGGCCTATCTCGTCATGTGACTCACCCCTCCCAAGGCGGCTATTGCATCCCTGGGTTCTCAGGCCCCCTGTTCTGGACGCTTCTGAGTGCCTTGCTAGCGGTTATAAAAAGCTCTTGCTTCAAGGGTCGGCCATCAGTGAGATCCCACTTCCTGTGTTCACCTCCCAGGGTTTGTGCACCTGCCTGACATTAGATGGCGGGATCCTTTGCTCCCCACAATGTCATTGGTACCTCTCAGACCTGGCGTGGGGGTCAGGGTGAAATAGTTTTTGCTGGGGCTTTCGTTGCGCTGCCTCATGCCTTTATAATAGGGCAGGGAGAAATAATGAAGACCTTTGGGCTAGACCCCTTACTGCTCTCTTAAACCTCTAGTACTCCTTCCCACGTTGCTTCCCAGGAATTCTGCGTTCACATGGCCTGTGCTCAACCCCCATTTAGTTCCTGTCCACTCCAGGGGAGTAGCGGACACTCCTTATCCTAAGCTAAGTTGCCCAGAGGATCTCTCTAGCCCCGCACCCTCTAATAGAGTGTCTAACAGATGCAGACCTATATCTGGTCCTTTGGGAGTCTCAAACTATCCCAGGGCAAGGAGGATGGGCAGCTGAGTTATTTGGCTGTACGGAGAAAGTGAGTCCTGCAGAGAGCAGTGTTTGTAGAGGCAGAGGGAAAGATGTTTGGAGCAGGGAGAAGGGAGTAAACAAAGATTTGCTGTGGGTAAGATTGCTGGCGAGGCAGGAGAGGCCCAGAGTACAGGTCCGGGCCACTCCATTGGCATCACGAGAGGTAATGTAATAGCAAGGCTGCTGAAGCCAGGCTTCCCGTGTGTGAAACTGCGATTAACCCACCCCATGACCTTGGGAAAGTTTCTCACATTTTCAGTGTCTTCATTTCCTCCCAAGTACTGGGCATAATAGTGTCCACATTTCAAGGCTGTTACGGGATTAAGGAAGTTAATGCATTGCTCTATACGCAGTCAGTGGACACTTTCTAACCATCAGTGCAAGTGTTTTTGTTTAATGTTTTTTGATTTATTTCATTTCACATATGTCACCATTTTGCTTGCATGTATGCCTGTGTACCACGTGCACGCCTGGTACCCCTGACGGTCAAAAGAGGGTGTTGTATCCCTGGGACTGGAGTTGTGGATAGTTGTGAGCTATGTGTGTGCTGGGAATCAAACTTAGGTCTTCTGCGAGCACAGCCAGTGCTCTGACTGTTGCTCCGCCTCTCTAGCCCCCATCAGATGAGTTGTAGCAGGACTCACAAACAGTGATTGTCACATTTCATAGGAACCACTAACTAGCAAGCTCTGATCAGAAAGTACTAAGTTCTGCGGGCTCTCTCTGGAATTTCAAAAATCTTACAGAAATCCTGGGGTGCTGCTCAGGTTGACTTAGGAAGCCAAGTTAGTCGTTCAGATCTTCCCCAGCTCAGGAACTATGGGGAGAAAATACTAGGAGGTGTTCTCAAACAGGAAGGACACATCAGGGAAAGCTGGGAGGAGAGGAAAGGGTGGGAAGAGAGACATGACACACTTTGAAATCTGAACCATGTTTGATCAGTCCAAAACTGGAGGAGATATGATGGTCTCTTAGCCGTACAGCAAGTCCCAGAACCTCGGAGGAGGAAGACTTTTCCTTTGAAGACAGTGAGGAATTTCCCAGGAACAACTCTGTAGCCCCTACACCTTGGTTAGAAACCCAGAGGCCTCACATTCAGCCCCCCCAAAAGCTTCCTTAGAAATAGGGCTTTCATACAGCAGCAAGTGTCTTCACCCCTCCCCTCAGAGGGTTCCAGGCCACTACCAACAGTCAGGGTGTGAGGATGGGGTAGGTCCCTGGAAGGGGCTACCTTTATAGGACAGTTGCATGATGGGAGCTAAATGCCCCGACTAAGGTGTTCTGTCCGGGGCCTGTGGCTAAGGGCAGAGGGTGGTCATCTCCCTTGAGAGACAACAGCTACTCAGTCCTCCTTTTAAAATTCTGTTTTGTGCGCTCACAGTCGCTCTGTGTTAGCACTGAAAGGACCAGGTAACTGGTCCAACCCGTGAGGAAGTCTTGATATCCATCATCCCCAGAGTTACCCCTAAGTTAACACTGTAGTGTTGCTGGGGACCCAGCTGAGGGTCCCACACATACAAGTGCTGGACTTTTTGGGAAGGTAATAGGAAGTAATTATTAAATTTTATGTTTGTTTATTTTTGAGATAGGATCTCACTATATAGCACTGACTGGCCTGAAACTCACTATGTAAACTACGCTGGTCTCAATCACAGAGATCCACCTGCCTCTGCTTGCTGAGTGCTGGGATTAAAGGTGTGTGCCACCACATCAGCATTTTGTAAAAGACTTATTTGTGTGTGTGTGTGTGTGTGTGTGTGTGTGTGTGTGGTACCGAAAGGGATGTCCGATCCTATTGGGTGCCTCCAAGTGTGGATGCTGACAAACTCTGGTACTCTGATAAAGCAGAAAGTACTTTGAACCAAAGAATCATCTCTCCAGCCCCCACGATTGCATTTTTTAAAAGATTTATTTTTTTATAGATACACGCTATTCTGCCTGCATGTAAACCTGCAGGCTAGAAGAGGGCGCCAGGTCTCATTACAGATGGTTGTGAGCCAGCATGTGGGTGCTGGGAATTGAACTCAGGACCTCTGGAAAAACAGCCTGTGTGCTTAACCACTGAGCCATCTCTCCAGCCCCCACAATTGCATTTTAAGTAGCTCATACAGCTGTGATAGGGAGAAGGGGTTGCTGGGGGAGATGGTAGCAGGGGGAGAGAGGTGTCAGGAAGCCCCTACAGATAAGAAATGGTGCCAAGTGAAGCCAAGGGGATAAGGAAGGTGTGGGCCTAGGGAGATGCTTCAGTGGGGGAAGTGTGTACTGTTGAGCCTGAGGGTCTGAGTTCGGATTCCTAGCACCCACATTGAAAACAAAAACAAAACATAAAAACAGGTATAGCCAGGTGCAATAGTACCTGCCTTAAATCCCAAACCTTCCATATGGTGGTGTCAGTGAGGTTGAGCCACCAGTTGGTAGCTCAGGGGCTGAACTAAAGGACTGAGCATCTGAGAACTGGTGACATCCAGTTGGTGTGTAAGGATGGGCCCAGGTGAGACCCTGCAGAGAGAAGGCAGCAGGGCCTCTAGTCAGAGGGCCACAGAGGGGGCACAGAGGCAGGGACCAGGAAAGAAGTGCCTGAGGAGGGAGGACGCCAGAGGCTGTGAGCTCAGGATTGTAGGTGGTGGTGCAGATACTGCTCGAAACTGTACACACAGTGCTCAAGACCAAACTCGGGAGTTACGTGATTCAATCTCATAGACCAAAACCTAAAAAGGAACTGGTAACTTTAGCACAAGAAATTAGGGAAAATATGGTATATTCAGTAGGAATTGGTTTGATTGCCTGGGTCCAGGGAAGAGTGAGAGAAGGCAAAATCAAGGGTAGTCCCACACTTCAGACATAGTAGCTGAGTGAGGGGGGCGTATGTGCAGGGGGTGTGAGGAGGGCATGGGTGTGAGTGAGTGGTGTGAGGAGGAGTTGAGTGTGAGTGAGGGGTGTGTATTTGCTGGAGGTGTGAGTGTGAGTGAGAGGTGTGTGGAGGGTATGAGTGTGGGCAGTTGGATTCTGAGATTCCTCTAGAGCTTTCCAAATGAGAGGATTGACTAACATTTGGTTCTCTGAGTCTTGAGCCATTCTTACCATCTGTGCATTCTTGACTCCCAAATAGAGTTTGGGGGAGTCAAAAGTATGGAGATGGAGGCTGGAGATCTGTCTTGGAGTTAAGAGCACTTGTTGCTTTCGGAATGGACAACAGGTTCAGTTCCCAGCACCCATGTGGTGGTTTATAATCTTTTGAACTCCAATTCTAGTAGATCTGGCGCCCTCTTCTGATGCCCTCCATGAGTACCAGGCATGTACCTTTGGGTCATGTAAACAGGCATGCACAGAAAATAAAAATATAAATCTTTTTAAAAGCGTGTAAATGAATTAAGCCAGAAAGTGTATACCTAGCTCTTGCTGAATACAGACATTTTCCTAGGTTCTAGGAACCGCCAAAGAATAAGGGAGCCAGCAGGTTGGAGGAATAGCAAGGGCACTGGGGTGGAGAGAGAGGAGGGAGTGGTGATTTAGCAGTGGGCAAGGGCCAGACTGTGTGGTATTCCACAGGCTGGGGGATGACAAAGGTCTATGGTTCAGGCTGCTGGAAAGGCAGGGATTGGGCAAGAGGAGTGAATCGATGTAGGATTTCCCCTCCATATGGGCTCCTGAACCAGAAAAAAAAGTCCCTTTGTACAAAGGGTGGGTGGCCGGTCATGGATGGGGGAAGGGCTGTGCTTGGTCCTGAGACCTCCTTACTTTGGGGGCTGGACAATGGGGCCTTGTGATTGGAGTTGGGGGCCAAATAGCCCCCTCAGTGATGAGATTCCTTAGCCAGGAAGCATGTGACCCTTCTTGCCACAGGAGACGGGGGAGGGGCACAACTCCCTTTGGAAGCCTTTAGAGAGAGCCTTGTACCCTGTCTGGGGCTGGAAGAGGTAGAAGTGGGTGGCTAAGGGACTGACTCTGCTTGCAGCAGCTAGGAGGGCAGCACCAACAGCTGGTTCAGCCTCAGAAGGCAGAGGAGGGATTGCTGCCTCCCATCCTGTGGGTGGAAGCAGCCCAGAGACCTGGCAGTTCTGTCTTGTGTTCCCTTAGAAGAGACAGCATGGAGTTGGAGAGCATCGTCAGTTCCGCCCTCCTTGCCTTTGTGCAGACACACCTCTCGGAGGCCGACCTCAGGTAAGAGCTGTTTCTGAAGGAGCAGGCCAAGTTCAGAGGGGAGTTGTATTCAGCCCAATCTGAGGTGGAACTGAACCAGGTCCTCTACAAGGATAGTGAACACTCTCTGGGTGGTAGTGGCATAAACCTTTAATCCTGCACTGGGGAGGCAAAGGCAGGCGAATCTCTGTGAGTTCAAGGCCACACCGGTCTACAGAGTGAGTTCTAGAACAGCCAGGGCTACGCAGAGGAAATCTTGTCCTGAAAAACTAAAGAAAAAAAAAATAAAGAATTCTTTAACCATGGAGCCATCTCCCCACCCCCCCCCCCCCCCTTGTTTTCAAGATTATTTATGTCTGTGTGTGTGTGCAGGTGCTCATGAGGCCAGAAGAACTGGGTGTCAGATACCAGGGAGCTGGAAGGATAGGCAGCTGGGAGCTAATTCATGTGGCTTGGGTGAACTGAACCTGGGTCCTCTCAAGAGCAGTGGGTGCTCTTAACTGCTGAGCCATGGAGCTGATCTTTATTTGCTTAGATGGTCTCTCTCATACTGTCTATCACCTGTGCCGGACGGGTTGAAAACCAAAGCTGAAGAATTGGGAGGAGATACTCTGGCCCCAAGGACCGAGCTGACTCATGGGCACCCATGAAACTGAGGACAGAAGTCAGACTAGGTGGGGATGCTGAAAATATCCAGGGTCCTACACAGTGAATTGTTCTTTCCCACAGTGGCTTGGATGAGGTCATCTTCTCCTATGTGCTGGGGGTCCTGGAGGACCTGGGCCCCTCAGGCCCCTCAGAGGAGAACTTTGATATGGATGCCTTCACGGAGATGATGGAGGCTTATGTGCCTGGCTTTGCCCACATCCCCAGGTAGGGCCTGGCGGGGCGAGAAAGAGGTGGAGGCTGGCTGGGGTTGGGATAGAGCAATCCCCTCACCACCTTCTTTGCCTTTTAGGGGCATGATAGGGGACATGATGCAACAGCTGTCATCGCAGCTGAGTGACGCTAGGAACAAAGGTGAGTGTGGGGCTCTGGCATTTGGAGGACTCCATCCCCACCCCAAGCCCTGGCAAATCCGATGCCCTCTCTGCCTCTTGAAGAAAACCTGCGCCCACAGAGCTCCTGTGTCCAAGGTCAGGTGCCCATTTTTCCAGAGACCCTGAGGCAACATGAAAAGCTCAGAGAAGAGACCAGATCTCCTGCTGCTACTGGGGACACCCAACATGAGGTACTAGTAGAAGAGAGGGTACCCATGAAGGACGGTGTGGTACGAAAGGAAGGAGTGTGGCCTACAGTTACCATCTGTGCCCACAGGCAGCTGGTTCCGAGGAAGAACTTCTTCCGGGAGTAGATGTCCTCTTGGAGGTATTCCCTACCTGTTCTGTGGAGCAGGCCCAGTGGGTGTTGGCCAAAGCTCGGGGGGACTTGGAAGAAGCAGTGCAGATGCTGGTAGAGGGCAAGGAAGAGGGGCCTCCAGGCTGGGACGGCCCGAGTCAGGTACCCTCTCTCAGCGCCCCCCACCTCAGCTCCATCATGTCTTCTTGTTAAGACCCACCCCTCCCAATCCTCATCTGCTTCCCGTTGTTGCCACCGCACCTAGAATAGGTCTCCCATATCTGCAGGACTTGCCCAGGCGCCTCAGAGGCCCCCAAAAGGATGACCTGAAGTCCTTCATCCTTCAGAAGTGAGTCTGGGCTTGGCTGGGCTGGACCCGAGGGTCTTCCCGGGTGGCGGGAGCTTCACGTAGCCAGTGTTTGGCAGGTACATGATGGTGGACAGTGCAGAGGATCAGAAGATTCACAGACCCATGGCTCCCAAGGAGGTAAGAATTGGGGGTGTGGGATGAGGGTACCGACCCCTGATTTCATCCACTCACTGCCTGATCCTGACAGGCCCCCAAGAAGCTGATCCGATACATTGACAACCAAGTAGTGAGCACCAAAGGGGAGCGGTTCAAAGACGTGCGGAACCCTGAGGCTGAGGAGATGAAGGCCACATACATCAACCTCAAGCCAGCCCGAAAGTACCGCTTCCACTGAGGCCCTGTCTGGACTCTGCTGAGCCTTCCAGATCCCAGAGGGATGCAGCCTCCTATCCACCCCACTGCCCCTTCTCTATTTCCTTGCTCTAGTGTTAATCTATTCTTGGAGCTGCCTTCATGAGCACAGTAAAGGTGGTCCAAGGAAAGTGTAACTTCATTCCAGTCATTCCTGCCACAGGGGGCAGGAAGAGTTACATGTCTGTCTGACCTTCTGGTCCTAGCTGCTGTCCCCTGTGCACCAGACAAGAAGGGGTAAAAAGCTCTTTATTTGAAACTCCAGGGTGGGACAGGGTATGTCACAGGCCTCTCAACCCCAGGCCCCCACAGTTCAGTTCCCTACAGCTCAGTGTCAGGCCCCGGCTACACAGTCCAGCTGTGCTCCCACCCCAAGGAAAGTCCGTTAGACCTGCAGGTTGACAAAGGGCGCGAATCCTGCCATGTCCTGGAGTAGCACCAGGGCCTGGTGCAGCGGGGGTTCCACGTCGATGTCCACACCACGTTTCCGCAAGCGGCTCAGGCTGGGCTCGGCCACGTGGTGGCAGTGCCGCACCCGCAGCGAGCGCAGCGCCGGGCAGTACTCCGCCAGGGTCCTGAGGGAGAAGCAGGGCGATGCTAGGTGCAGGGGGCCCTCTCGTGTCGGCTGGGCAGCCCACTAAACATGCAGCTGGCTCCTGCAAATTCTAGGTTTCCCTCCAGCTCAGGGTCTGCTCTTTGCTCTTCTCTGCAGTACCCATGGGAGGGGGCCGGAATGGAATTAGAGCCCCCCCCCCCCCCCCCCCCCCCGCTCACTGGGGGCTTCTGGCTCTCAGTACCTATCCTTGGTTCTATCCCGCGTTTCAAGATTACCCTCCCTTGTTGCAGAAATCAACTTTATGTCACATCTCAGTGTGTCAATCTTGGTTCAGAAGTCCCCCCCCATTTTTTTTTTTAATTATAGGCTTTCTAGCCTAAAAGGAATTCCAGAGGTTTTTCTGATGGGTCTTTGACAAGTACAACCCGCCCGCCTACCCCTAGAGTGACTGCCCACCTCCCATCCTACTGGCCCCATGCCCAGGCACCTGACACCGTCGCTTCCGACGCGAAGGCAGCCTGTGAGGTCGAGGTGCTCGAGTTGCGGGCAGTTTCGGGCCAACTCTTGGACCGCGGTGTCCCCCACATTGGCGTTGACAGCCAACGAGAGACTGCGGAGGCCCGCGCCGCGTCTCTGCGCCAGGTACACGATGGCCTCGTCCTTGAGCTGGCGACAGGCGGTGAGGTCTAGTTCCTCAAGAGCCGGGCAGCGGTCGGCGAGGCCACGTAGTGCCAGCCCGTCCACCCAGTCACAGTGAGCGAGCGAAAGGCGCTGCAGACGCGGGCAGCCCTCAGCCAGTGCCCCCAGCGCTCGGCGGCTCAGCTGGCCGCAGCCGGCCAGGGCCACGCTCCGGAGCTGCGGATTCCGTGCCAGTACTGGCACCAGGTCCTCGTCCGACAGCCATTCGTGACACGGAGCCAGCGCCAGCTCCTGCAGCCCCTCGGCATCCCGCAGTAGCCGAGCTAACGCGGCCCTTGGAATCTGGGGCCCCACCTGCGGGCGGGAGGCACCGAGACTCAGTCTGTCCCTGGGGCGGGACGCTGCCTGGCAGCCGCCTACCTTGAAGACCTGCCACCCGCCCTCCCAGGAGAGACCTCAGGCTCGCGGCGCCCCGCTCGACCCCTGGAGGGGCCGGGCTGGAGGCGTGACGGGGGCGGGGCCACGCGGAGGTGGGGCTCACGCGGGGGCGGGGCTGCCGTCCCCGGCTCACCTGAGCGGCGTCGAAGCGACGCAGCCCCTCCAGGTGCAGCTGCACGAGCGCCCGGAAGGCGCGGCTGACGCGCTGCAGCCGGAGCAGCTGGCGCAGCGGGACCCAGGTCAGGACGTGCGGGAGCAGCACGTCTTCCCAGGGCAGATCCAGAAGCCTGCGAGGAAAGCGGCGTTGACGTCTTCGGGCCGCTGTGACGTGCGAGTCTGTCTGTTATACCCCAGAGTCCCGGCTGGCAAGAGCGAGTCCGGGTCCGGCCAGGACTCCGCTGCCCTCCCGCGGGTCTCTTTTCCCTCCCCCGGCCCCTTCAGTGCTCGGTACCTGATAGCTCCCGGTTCTTGCTCCCCTCCGGACTGCTCCATTGGTGGCTCCATCGCAGGCTACTGCGCTTGCGCAGTAAGCTCTTCTAGCTTTGGCCTTGAAGCGGCTGCGGCGAGCCCGCCTCCTTGGTCTGGAGAGACAGACCGATTTAATCGAGTGCGGCCTCACTGAGAATCCTTATCGGAAAGCTTTCCGAATGGCCCCCAAAACTGAGGCAGGACGGACCAGCGATGTACCATCAGATGTCTTCCCAGCCACAGGGCTTGAAGCCCGAGGCTGTGCTTTCGCTCTCCGTTGCGGGCCAGTAGCCGCCTCTGAGTGGTGATGGGAGGAGCAGACAAGGCCAAAGGCAGAAGGGGCGGAGCCAGGACTCCTAGGTTACCGAGTGCCTCCCTCTGTCCTCTGGTCTCCTTTAAGCGACTTTGAGAAAAGAAAAGAGGGGAGAGACTGCCCAGGTTCTAACTAACTGGTATACAGTAGGTGCTCAATAAGTAATTGTCCACAGAATGAATTAAATGGGCGACGCTAAGGCCTTATCAAGCAGATTTGTTCAAACCTGCCATTCCTTGTGAATTGTGAAGTGCACACTCAATGCAGTCATCCCTTTCCAGTTCAGGACAGCGTGGACCGGCCTTTTGCCTAAAGGAAAAGGAGTACAAGGGAGCAGCTGCGCTTTCTTCCCAGCGGTCCAGAGTCCGGGAGGAATGCGTGCTCAGCGCAAGCTACTACTCGTGCTGCTTCTTGACTGGCTTGGGTCAATTGTAGGGAGAGTGACGCCCCAAAGCTCGCGGCTCAGTCATTAGGCTTCCCTTTCACTGTGCCCCTAGATTCTAATCTCAACCCCCTGGCGTAATAATTTCCTCCAGCATCCAAGGAGGGTGTGGGGCACGTGAAAAATCTTGCGCCGCTGCATCCTACATGGTTGGGATGCAAACATTTCGGCCGCTTCTTCAAATGAAAGCTGCTTCCCATCCGTTATCTCTCTCACCAGGGCTTTGGGCACCTTTGCAAAGGCACGCAGGTCTGTCAGTTTTAAAGATGGGCAAACCGAGGCTCTGGGGAGGAAGCTCCTTAACCAGCATCAAACGGAGCAAGGATAAAGAACCCAGACATCCTGGTTTTCCCAGAATCCCTTCCACACTACCTCATTACTCGGTGTAGCATGAAGGGAGAAGCCAGCCAGCACCGGAAAGAGCAGAAGAGGGTGAAGTTGGGTGAGGGGATTGCTTCCTCTCCTCCTCAGCCTGCTTGGGGAAGGGGAAGCCTGGAAGGATCTCTGCAAAGATAGATGTGGGCGCGCACCACCTCCGGCCGCGCGCCTCCTCCCCCGCCCCTTTGTTCGCGCCTCTGCGCTTGCGCATTACGACAAATCTGGCGCTGTCCCCTTCAGCACCTCGCGGAACCCGTGCCACCCCTCCCCGCGGTGAGCCCCGCGCACCCCCGCCTCGAACGTCCTCGCCCCCTCTGACCACCCGAACCGACCCTCTCTTCCTTTCGAGGTCATAACCTGCCGGCCCTGGCCTTCCAAAGGAGAATAGTTGCCATAGTAACTCGTGTGGCGTTTTCCTAAAATAGCCAGACCCTCTTCCACCCTGGCCAAGGGCACAAGGTTTGCCTGTGCTTCTCTCCCCAGTCTTCGGGTCGTCCCTTCTAAAGTCTCGCTCCTGAAAAGGCGGGACGATTAACCTAGGCAGCAAGGAAGTTCTTCCTGGAGTCTGACTTATCCTTCCTCCACACTCCGGGTGGGTGGTCAGGACAGGGACTCCGGGGTCTGCGGTTGGGAACCCCGAAGTGTTTAAGATTGCGTTCGTTTGACGATGTCCCTTCCATAGTTGATCTTCTGGTTTTAGGGGGCGGGTCCGGTCTACTCCCGTACCGTGTGGTTTGCGTGGCCGCGTGCCTGTGGGGGCGGGAGCGCGTGTGGCATGTAACAGGTCATGTGGCAGCCTCCTAGGGACACGCGTGGAGTCTGGAGCAGGACAGGCGTGTGCAGCTGGACCCTACGTGTGGTTCAGGAGATGACGAACGAGGGAGAACTGAACATGAGTGGGGTGGGGCATATGAGGGTTTAGGAAACAGAACCAGGGGGTCTCTGTACTCTCCCTTCCTCTGGTGTGAGTCTTAGGCAGTGACTAGGGGCTGGCATTCTTTGGGACTCAGGGCCCTGGGAAAGAAGGGAGGGGGATTAGCGTTGCTTGAGCAGAGCGTGGGGAGGGGTGGAGGAGGGACTGAGAGGCGGGCGGGCCTGGAGCAAGCGGGAGCCGTGCTGCTTTCACAGCTGAGCAGGGCCCAGCCTCTCTGCCTCCCTTCCGTTCCAGCTCCGAACGAGCAGCGGTGAGTACTGGGGTGCCTTGGAGGAGGGGCTGCACAGGGGGTGTCGAGGTTCCTGTTGAGCTTCAAGAACCTGTCTGGCAGGGTTGCTGTTTCTGACAGCTTTCCCTACCCTGCTTTGCCACCAGAGGCCCGGTTTTCCTTTATGGCCCCTCCTGGACTGGCCAAGACCTGTCATACTCCTGGAGTTGGGGGAGAGGGGTGGGTGCAACCCCCTCATCCAGACCTGGCTCCTGGTGTGGGGAGGAGAGGATGTGTGTCTCTGATTGTGTGTGTAAATGTGCATCTGTGTTTACGATTGTGTCGAGGAGGTCTCTGATCCACCTGTCTCTGTGTGCATCAGAAGACGAGAGCCTATCTGTATATTTGGTACCTCTTTGTGTGTTCCTGTCTGGTGATCTGTGTGTAAGACAAGCATGTGCTTTTCCATTGTACACATATTTGTTATGACTGTGAGTGTATGAGGGTGTGTCTATGAGCAGTACTGCTTGTGTCTGTTGTACTGGAGGGTGTTGCCTATGAGTGTGTTAACTGTATATCATATCTGTCCTTCTGCGTGTGTGTATACGAATTCAAACGTGTGTATGTGCATGTGTGTGTGTGTGCATATGTGTGTATGTGTGTGTGTGCATGTACTGATACAGAAAAAGGTTGTATCTTCCCCACTCAGCATCTATGGGCTGAAGTTAGGGGCCTCTTTTCCGGTTTTTCTCACATCTTCCCTGTGTCTCTCAACACTTCCTTATCCCTGTGGAATCCTTTTTTCTCCCTCTCCTTCCAAGAAGCTTAATTTTTCTTTTCCTAAGTGAGCCCCCTCCCATAAGTAAGACTGTGGGGGCCCAGGGCCGTATGATCCAGAAGGTGGGACACCAGCCTCCCAACTGCCCCAGAACTGAACTCAGTGAACTTCTGAATTAGCTTGCTCTTTCTTCCTAAAGTGATGCTCAGGGCTCCCAGACAGAAAGAGAGGTACTAAAGGCCCTTTGAGTGGATGGTTCTTTTCCCTAAGGTTTCCATGGAAGGAGCCATCAGGGTCAGGATGGGTGATCCCATATTTCCAGACCTGACTAGGTTCCTGGACCTTAGACGCCTCAACCCATCTTCCTCCTCTCTGTCTCTGCTGCCCTGCCTGTGTGGCTGCTACACACTCATCCATGCCCCCCTCCCTTCCTCCCCTGCAGGCTTGTCTGAAGAGCATGCAGTCCCCTCACGCCCTGCCTGGCCTCGCCATCCCTGCCCCCCCAGCCTGACCCCCGGCCCCAGCATGGCCCAGGGTGCCATGCGCTTCTGTTCAGAAGGCGACTGTGCCATCTCCCCACCACGATGCCCTCGTCGCTGGCTCCCCGAAGGCCCAGTGCCCCAAAGTCCCCCAGCCAGCATGTATGGCAGCACAGGATCCCTAATACGACGAGTGGCGGGTCCAGGTCCTCGAGGCCGGGATCTGGGACGTGTGACAGCACCTTGTACCCCTCTTCGAGGCCCCCCATCACCCCGTATGGCTCCCTCACGCTGGGGACCCTCTTCACCCACTGGGCAGCCCCCACCAGGGGCACAGAGTTCTGTGGTCATCTTCCGTTTTGTGGAGAAGGCCAGTGTGAGGCCACTGAATGGCCTACCTGCTTCTGGAGGCCTAAGTCGGAGCTGGGACCTGGGTGGGGTTTCTCCTCCCAGGCCCTCCCCAGCCCTTGGTCCTGGCTGCAACCGGAAGTTGCGGCTAGAGGCATCCACATCAGACCCACTCCCAGCTGGAGGAGGCTCTGCTCCTGGCAGTCGGGACCCCTCACGTGGACCATTGATCCCACCCCAGATTGGGGCAGATGGTCTTTACTCCTCCCTCCCCAATGGGCTGGGGGGGACCCCTGAGCACCTGGCCATGCGCTTCCGAGGACCCGCAGACACTGGATTCCTAAACCAGGTATGCAATCTGCCTTGGGCTCCCTGGGGCCTTAGCACCCCAGCTAAGGGACAAAGCTCAGCCCCTACTGGACTGAGGCTTGTCTCGTAGTCACCCAGATCCGTTCATGTCCTAAACCAGCTTTCTTGCCCTCTGTCGCTGTGTCCCTGCACCTTCATCCTTGTCCCATGTGGTTTCCTTTCTGCTGCTCCATATGCTTGTGTCCTTGTATGTCTGGCTTCATTTTGGGGTCCTGTGCCTTTCCCTTGCTCTTTGGCTCAGGGGGACACCTGGTCCTCCCCCCGGGAAGTCTCCTCTCATGCTCAGAGAATCGCTCGAGCCAAATGGGAATTCTTCTATGGCTCCTTGGACACCCCCAGCGCAGGTAAGGCTTGGACTTAGCCCAGGGGAAGAGGGGAGGGCCTCCTCCAGGGCATCTGAGGACTGGCAAACCTTCCTTGGGGTTTCCTTGGACTCCCAAGTCAGCCAAGTCTCTCCAGGTTCTAGTCTTTCATCTGTGACATGAGGGTTGGGCTGGGCTCTGGAGGAGCTGGGTGGTAGAGGGAGGGGGTGGCCAGATCTCAAGGGTTATTCCTCGGAGTGGAAGAAAGTCTGGTCTCCTTTAGAGTTATTTGACAAGGACTTGATTTGAAATGAGTTCCACAGGCATTTGATCAAGTGAAGAGTGTAGCAGATACATAGTAGTAGATAAAGAGTCTCCAGCCTGTGTGAGGCCCTGGGGAGCTCCCCAACATAAATAACCTCCTGACCAGGATGTCTGTGCATACAGGTGCTAAGCCCCCAGAGCACGCCCTCCCATCACATGGGGTGGGCTGCAAGCAAGGCTCTGGGGTGGCTGTGGGGCGAGCAGCCAAGTACTCTGAGACAGACCTGGACACGGTGCCCCTGAGGTGCTACCGCGAAACTGACATCGACGAGGTGCTGGCCGAGCGGGAGGAGGCTGACTCCGCCATTGAGAGTCAACCCAGCTCTGAGGGCCCTGCTGGCACTGCCCGACCACCTGCCTCACGACCCAGCCCATGCCCTGGCCCTCCTTCCAGCTTGGGCAGTGGCAATGAAGACGATGAGGCTGGTGGTGACGAGGATGTGGATGATGAGGTGTTTGAGGCCTCAGAGGGGGTCCGGTGAGTGGAATGGGGAGGGGGACCGCAGCTCACTGTGTTCTACCTCCTCTAACAAGAACCTGGGGTGGAGGGGAAACCAGGGCTGTGAGGATCACGACAGCAAGGGCAGTATGGGAAGGAGATCCAGGCAGAGGTCTGAGGCTTGGGATAGTGTTAGGAATGTGTGAGCATGGGGCACACCCAGAGTCGGGGCAGCCACACAGATGAGACAGGGTTCTAGACTATCAGGGGCCAGAAACCACAGGCCAAACCAGGGGCACGGGAGCACAGGTTAGATCCTTAGGTCCTGGCAAAAAAGTGTGGAAATGTGGGGGCTTTTCCTTTCTGTCTCACGCCCCACTGCAGTTTGGAGCCACATCTTCTCCTAAGATGTTGCCAGAAATAGAAAAGGGATGGCAGGAGGGAAGCGGATCAGGGGAAAGGAAGAGAAAGGGGGATTAGCAGTGAGAGGGAAGGCGGGGACTGGGTGCCAGGATGGCAGGGCTGGGACACCGTAAACATTGAATTTCATGGGTCCCTCTCCTGTAGTGGTTTTTTTCCCTTAGGGGGTTTGGGTCTGCAGAAAGGGGATGACTGCCCTGCATCAATCGGCAAGAGTTCAATGAAATTCTGCCAAGGCCTGGTTCTGGGGAGCTGATCAGACATTCTTCCTGCCTCTGCAGACCGGGGGACCACATGCCACTCTCTGGGCCTCTCAAGTCACCAGTGCCCTTTCTACCTGGGACCAGCCCCTCAGCAGATGGGCCTGACTCTTTCAGTTGTGTGTTTGAAGCCATCTTGGAGTCACATCGGGCCAAGGGCACCTCCTATAGCAGCCTTGCCTCCTTGGAGGCCCTGGCCTCACCTGGCCCAACCAAGAGCCCCTTCTTCACCTTTGAGATGCCTCCCCAACCCCCAGCTCCCCGGCCTGACCCACCCACCCCCACCCCACTTGCCCCTCTGGAA